ATAAGATAATATAATATAATACAATATAGTGTAATATAAGATAAAGTAACGAAATATTGCAATATAATGTGATAAAATATAAGACAACAAAATTTTTGATGGTACATTATACTGTAATACAACATAATGTAACAAAATATAGTGTAATATGATATAAGACAATAAAATATAATGTAGCACAATATATTATAATACAATATAATGTAACAAAATATAATGTAATATGATATAAGATAAGATAATGTGGAATATAAGATAACATAATATAAGGTAACAAAAAGCTTAATATAATATAATACGACATAATACGATACAATTGAATATATTATAATACAATACAATACAGTATACTATGACTACTATATAAGGTAAGATAACCTAATGTCAGATCATCACAAAATCTACTGCACGCTGGCGCTCTGGCCCCGGGCCCATCAAGAAGGGTTTAGGGCTTAGGGTTTAGGGTTTAGGGTTTAGGGCCCGGGCCCATCAAGAAGGAGGTGCAGAGCCATAGGTCGCTGATGGCCAGGTAGAGCACCAGGCGGGCAAAGTAGCGCCTGCCCAGAGAGAACCCAATACCCCTTAATTAAGGAATGTATGCCTTAAATCATGATATTAAGGCCCCTAGAATTTTAGGTATATTCCTTAATGAAAGGGTATCGGGTTTTCTGAGTGTCCGAGGTCGAGATGCAAAGCAGTGGGAGACCTTGAAATGGACGGTTCAGGGTTTAGAGTTTAGGGGCTTAGGGTTTAGGGTTTAGGGTTCAGGGGTTAGGGTTTAGGGCTTAGGGTTTGAGGGTTTTGGGTTTAGGACCCTACAATGGGTCCCTGACTTAGAGAACTACCCGAGTGTCGCTTGACGTTCCAACCTTCCTTCATTCCGTAGCTCCACTGCTCTGTCAAGCCGATGGTTTGGAGGGAAAGGGAGGGAGAGACGGAGGGAGGATAGCAATAGAAAACTATACCACTGCTAACAGCGGGAACGATCGAATGAATGAATGTCTGTGTGTACTTCTCTTGACGAATACAGCGGGTGTCATACTACAATGCCGCTGATAAATATCAACTGCCGGGGGTTATGCCATCCCAGCATGGAACAATGGAAGCAAAATGTTTTCTCCTTTCCGTTTCCTCCCCCTTCCGCTTGCACGATGTTACCAGCGAAGATTGGTCCAATTTGACTCGCAGGAGGCTCGTGAGGCCGATTGCAGTAGTGCCCAAAAACAATGCCGCTCATAAATGTCCACAAGATGGCCTCAGCTGAGGGAATGCAATGAAGACGCCAATGACCTGCGCAAGAACCCAGAGACTCCATTACCCCTCAATTAAGGGACTATACCTTAAATTAAAATTATAATGGGAGTATATTCCTTAATTAAGGGATATTGGAGTCTCTGGGAACAATGACTCGATGCTTCCAACCTATCTCTTGCCAGCTGGGCCGAAGTTCTGACCCGGGCCTGATACTCCCAGAGAACCCCATACCCCTTAATTAAGGAATATACCTTAAATTATAGGGGCCTTAATATTAGGATTTACGGTATATTCCTCAATTAAGGGGTCTGGGTTCTCTGGGCTCATAATCATGTGAATACTACTTGAAGCCATACAGAGGGAGTTGGGGGTTGAAGGGATAGTGATGATACCAAACACAAGCACTGAGGAGATGTGCCAGGATGTGGCTGAAGCTGCGGACCCACATTGTAAGAGCTCGGGCCATGGCCAGCAACGACCCGGCAATCGACAACACCGAAGAGATCGCATTGAGTGTCTGGAACACAGGCCTTGGCTGGACCCAGAGAGTAAAAAATTCTGTGATTAAGGAATATTCCGTAATATTCCTTAAATCATAGTAAGGATCCGACTCTAATTCAATTTATATATGTTCCTTTACTATGGGGTTTTGGAGTCTCTGGGGACAACATCCTGTTGCCAGGACTTTTCGCTCTCTTTCAAGCACTGTCTCCTTTGCCCAGAGTGGTTGTGTGTCTGCGATGTATCCGGAACTATTGCTCTGCTGACAAATGTTGGCTGCCGAAACGACCGGCAAAAACTGAGCGACCAGCCCATACTCCTCACCATCGTCAAAGGTCAGCGCCACCATGATGTTGGCAAAGCTCCATTGGAGCACTCGTGGAGACTATTTACGACGAAGCTTGCAGTGATGCGCAAACAATCCCTCCGACACTAAACTCTAAACCCTAATACCCTAAACCCTAATACCCTGATACCCGAATACCCCAATACCCTAATACCCCAACTCTAGGGGGCTAGACCCCAAACCCTTCCTTCCCAGCTGATAGACTGGAATAAAGGGCCAATGCCAACTTGAAAATCTTGGTCGTGTACTGGTGAGCCATTGCTGCCAGATGGATTCGAAACGGAATCCCTAAACCCTAAACCCTGGGGCATTCAGGTGTAGCCTCTGGTGCTGAGAGTCGAGCCATCCGCGATCGTGATTTGTGGGCTCGAACTTGACCATGAGCTTTCCGTTCACGATGGACATCTGTTAAAGGAAACTACAGGTGGGGAGCTTAGGGTATATAGGGCCACCTTCTATAAGGCTTCTAGAAGGTATATAGACCTTCTATAAGGCTCCTATAACGGTAACTACCCACCTGAAAATGTACTAGAATCTGCGTGGGCCAGAGCTCGGACTGCGGGCTTCTGAGACATAACTGGGGAAGCATGTTCAGCCCTGAGTAGAAGGACAGGGCCTTTGTAAAAGTGTCTAATTGCAGGGGTTCCTTTCAGGGTATTGTAAGTTCATGTAGAAGGTATAATTACTGAGGTGCCGTACTTTTTAAAACAATCCACGTCGTCGCAAAGGCCACACTTTGATCCCTACCTGTCCTCCAGGCACTTTGTCTCAATGGCAGCGTCAACGTGCCGGAATTGGTACCTGCCGCGGCGGAAAAATTCCGAGTTTTCGACAGGCATTCTTTCGAACTTCTCACACGCTTAGGCAGTCTTCGAACTTGAAGCTCCAATCATGGCAGCACGACCAGCCCTGATTTAACCTGGCAGCGAGCACAGGGCACGGAAGGAACCAGAACAAAGTTCTCTGCGCCGCAGATTTTTCGAGGACTGCAACTAAGGGATCCCTAAACCCTAAACCCTAAGGGATCACAAAGGAGGTTCGCGGCCTGCAGAACTCGAGCTGGCAGTGTGGCGATGATGCCAAGTACTCCGACAACTTGGTATCCACCTGACAAAAAAATACCTAAAGCCCTAAACCGTTTAGGGTTTAGGGTTTAGGGTTTAGGGAAAAAATACCTAAACCCTACGAGCCCTCTGCATGTTAAGGGTAGGTCTTAGGGTTCGTGAAAGGCAAAGATCCGTGCAGATGGGTCGGGAAACGGACAGGAGCACGCTTCTTGAGTTGCTCCGAACAGTAGAGTCTGCATCTGCTTTTCAGTCCACGCATGCCACTGCAAAGGTGTGCTTTGTGTCATTTAGGGTCCCTTGTCAGGTCTCCAAAAATAATACGTGACCCCTAAAAAACAGGACCCTAAATGCGACCCTGATTCAGAGCATGTCTCGCCTCATCCTTCGCTACCCGCCGCAATGCTGCAGGGGAGGAGCCTGTCAAGTCACAGACTCAGTACACCTCCGCACGAAATGCCGAAGATGAGCTGTGGGTTTGGGGTTTAGCGGGTTGTGGAACCCAGAGAACCCAATACCCCTTAATTAAGGAATATACCTTAAATCATAATATTCAGGTCCCTATAATTTAAGGTATATTCCTCAATTAAGGGGTATTGGGTTCTCTGGGAAGGAATTCGAAGGGCGGAGGATGATCGCTTGCCCCTTCTGCGCACACTGGCACCTCTTCTCGTCACTCGTGGACGTTCGCCCACCGGCCTGCAAGGGAAGTTAACACATACCACACGCATCTTGACGTGCTACGAGGTGCCAGAACTAGCTTCTCACCCTAAACCTTAAACCCTAAACCCCGGCTAGCTTGCAGTCTGGCGTCCTTGCAGAAGGCACCACATCACTTCGGCTGCCACCTCTGGTGGTCGCACATTCAATGGCACATGTCGCGTATTCTGGGGACCGCGGCGGTGATCATCCGCCGGCTCCTTCCCTCTGCTCTCCTGGGCAGTGCGAAAAGAGGGCGTTTTTGGGCTCGAAAAGCTCCATGTCCGCAGACCTTCCAAAACCTTTCAATTAAAGGAATATAAGTTTGAATAAAAGTAGGATCACTGCTATAATTTAAGGTAAATTCCTAATAAAAGTAGGATCACTGCTATAATTTAAGGTAAATTCCTCAATTACGGGAGTTTGGAAGGTCTGTGTCAATCAGCCCTAAAAACCCCTTCGGGCGCCCGCCGCCCGGCGCGGCGATGCCGGTCTCGGCCGACGCAGGGCTGCTCGTCTCTTCAAACAAAGCAATGCTTGCAACTTTCAGTCGCCATTGTTCATATTGCATGCCTTATGAATATTATTACCAGAAATCTGATTACTGCTAATATTACTATCAGTATTGGTCTTAGACCGAATCCTAGTCTTAGTCTTTGTACGAGCATTAGTAGAAGCATTAACCATTTGGCTATTCATACTAGAATTAACATGCCTATAATAGTACTGCAAATATTAAGCTCAGTATGAGTAATGGCATTAATCTTAGCATTAGCACCAATACCAACATTAGAACCATAATAATATGAATGTTAGTATTGATACTTAATATTGGTTTTAATAGTAATTTCTATTCAAAAATACTTACTACCGTTTATTGAATTATCATTTTATTATTCTTCAACATACAATAGCTCTGGGGCCCTGGCGCTCGTGCCACGCGCTGTGGACTTTTTGGAGTTCTTGGGCTCCGAGGGGACTCGGCAGAGCCCAGGGTTTAGGGTTTAGGGTTTGGTGTTTAGGGTACAGCGGCGAAAAAGGACCATGCCCCCTTGCTAGCTTGGAGCTGCACTGCCTCAGCTTTCTTCGTTTGAGCAAGTGCAGCCTCTGCGCGGGCACACTTCTCCTCAGATAGCTGATGATCCACACCCGAAACATCTATGTCTTAAAAAGGGTCCCTAAACCCTAAACCCCTAAACCCTAACCCTAAGTCCTGCTCCAGTGCTGCTGCCAAGTGCTGGATCTGCTCCCTTGCTGCCTGGCGCAGTGAGGAGTGGAGTAAGGTCGCCGGATCATGAAACGGGGTTCCGGGATGGGCGACGGGAATGTGGTATAGTATCGTATAACAAAGTGTAGTCGAGTAGGGAATAGTACAGTACAGTATAGTACTGACGAATACAGTATATAGTATAGTATAGTATAGCATAGCACATAGAACACAGCACAGTACAGTAGAGAAAAGTATAGTAAAGTAGGGTAGACTAAAGTATCTTGAAGCACAATGGGGGTTTCCGAAAATAAGGGACCCCAATATAGTACCCTTAATAGTAGGATCCTTATTATAGGGACCCCAAAATAAGGTACCCCTTGTCTTCGGAAAGTCCCAAATGGCCTGCAGCTCCGCTTGCAACCGGACCTCGTTGGCCCTGGAAGCCTCGCACAAGGTCTCCGTTGGAGTCATTTGGGGAAAGAAGCCCTGGAAGGGGACCCTTAATTTAGAGAACTACACATTTGCGCTGCAAACTGCTCACCCAGAGAACCCAATACAGCTTAAGTAAGGAATAATACCTTAAATTATAGGGGGCCTTAATATTACCCTAACTAAACCCTACACCCTAAAAACCCTAAACCCTAAACCCAAACCCCCTAAACCCTAAACCCAATATTCCTTAATTGAGGGGGTACCTTGGGTTCTCTTTAAGTAAGGAATAATACCTTAAATTATAGGGAGCCTTGATATTACCCTAAACCCTAAACCCTAAACCCTTACTTAAGGGTTAAGGAAACCCCAACTATTCCTTAATTGACGGGGTACCCCTTGGGTTCTCTGCGCTCAAAAGGCCTGCAGAGCTTCCCGGAGTTGGTCGAGCTCCTGCTGCTTCACCTGCCGGGGCTTTTGGGGGAGCTGCCATAGCGGCTTAGGCTTTACGGTTTAGGGGTCTAGGGGGTTAGGGGTTTAGGGGTTTAGGGGTTTAGGCTTTAGGCTTTGGGGGAGCTGCTAGTTTAGGCTTTACGGTTTCAGGGGTTAGGGGGTGAGGGGGTTTAGGGGGTTTCAGGGGTTTAGGCTTTACGGTTTAGGGTTTTAGGGGTTAGGGCTTTAGGGTTTAGGGGTTGAGGCTTTAGGCTTTACGGGCTTCGGGTTTAGGCTTTTAGGATTTCGGGGTCTAGGGGGTTTAGGGGGGCTTAGGGGCTTAGGGGCTTAGGGGTTTAGGGCTTAGGGGTTTAGTGGGTTTAGGGGTTTAGGGGCTCCGGGCTTGGGGGTTTAGGGGTTTAGGGGTTTAGGCTTTAGGGGCTTCGGGGGTTTAGGGTTTAGGGGTAGGAAGGGTTCCTAGGAGCGCTGCCATGAGGGCGATCGTACGGACTTTTTGCAAAAGTTTGTATAAGGGTTGCTATGAGGGTTGCTATGACGGTTGCGATAGGGGTGGCAAGGCTACTTGGGAAATTTCATGGGGCAGCTGACAGCGACAAAACTCAACCAGCAAGCAAGAATGCCAATGTCCTTCTGCTCCCAAACCTAAGGAACTGCATGTAAATGTATGCAAGGCTCCGTAATGCGATGCATGACGAGGCCAAGACTACAATCTTGACAAACAAAAAATTCAGTATGCTTTAAGTAACTATGGAATGCTGCTTACGAGTGGAAGCTACTCCTTCAAGGGCAGACCAAAGCCGCTTTTGCTCCAAGCCTGTGTCAGGCTCTCCGGGGCAAAAGACGCCTGCGAGGCAACGGAAAAGAGCAAGGAGCAGCAGCCTTAATGATTAGAATAGGGTTTTGGGGTCTATTATACGAAAGTTACAATTAGAATAGGGTTGTGGGGTATGTTGTACTATAGTTTAGAACAAGGAACCCCCCAAAATACACCTTAAACCCCAAGCCCTAAACCCTAAACCCGAAACCTTAAACCCCAAGCCCTAAACCCTAAAGCCGAAACCTTAAACCCCAAGCCCTAAACCCTAATAGTACCGGCCTTGCACCTCTGAAAAGCTGAAAACTACCGGAAGTTCCCTCGCTGAGGCGCTGGCCATCGTCGAGACGCGGGCGCTGCCCGGTGTCTGATAGCCGGCCTCGAGTCAGGACTTGCATAGGGTTTGGGGCTTAGGGTGTTTGGGGTTTAGGGTTTGGGGTTTAGGGTTTGGGGTTGAGAGTTTAGGGTGCATCCTTGCGGCGTTAGGCTGCTAGACACTTGAAAAAGACGGGAGAAGCGCGCCCACTGACATTTACGGACGTACCTTGCTCACGGACACTGGGCTGGAGGACTGGCGCATCGGCAGCTGCACCTGCCGATCCATGCCAAAACAGCCCGTGCGACGAAGTCTTCGGTACTTGCATGTGTCACGGCAGGTCCACTTGCGATGGTTTGCTGCATCTTTGGCAAGGAAGCACTCGGCTGCATCTCGAACCGGCCGTCTCCCACACTTTAAGACACACCTTGCTCACGGATGCCCCGGAGGACTGGCGCACAGGCATCTGCACCTGCCATGCGATTGATCTAAACCCTAAATACTAAATACCCGAAACACCCTAAATGTCTTAAATGCACCAAATACCCTAAAGACTAATACCGTAAGTACCCAAAACACTTAAGTACCCAAAACCCTCAACCCCAAAACACCTTTGGAACCCTAAACCCCAACCCCTTCGGACCCCACCCCCCTAAAAAAACATAAGAGCAGAGAGTTCAGCCTGACAGCTGGACATCGCGAGCGGCTGACCTCAGGGCTCGCTCTAGGCTTCAGGGTTCAAGGACATTGGATTCAGGGTGGGGTTGCTTGGGGACATACATGCATACCTCAGTTCCACGACTCTTGCATCATTCCGCCTGGTTAGCCTCTTCTTCGCATGCATTACACTTAACTGCAACAGTAGGTATCGTCTTCAGTCGAAAGGCTGCAGCCTCAGACGCGACGTACGGCAAAAAGGTCCCTCAAAGGCGAAGGAAGCTACACCACGCAGGCGGCGAAGGAAACTGCACCATGCAGAGCGGCAAAGGAAACTTAAAAAAACCTCACAATTGTGTAGAACTTCTGTCAGTCACATGTGGTAAAAATGACATTGTCTGTTGCAACTGTAAAAATTTTCGTGAAACAAGTCTGTTGTTGACACTGTAAGTTCTTGAGAACTCATCTGAAGATGTTTGCATGACCAAACTTAAGTGCAGGTGAACAGTCAAATCTGTTGAGGTCAGGGTTTAGTGAACTTTCTAGTGTTTGGGTCAGAGTCCAAACCGCTCTGCCAAAGTGCGGCCAACCTGGAACTCTGATGCAATCTCCAGGAAACTTCTGCAATAGATGCACAGCAAACTAGCTAGCTGACCTACCCTTTGAAAGTTTACTGTGTCCTGGCCCAAGCACCATCCGATTCTTTTAATGAAGGTGTTGATGCAGTTAGAGTGATGGTTGTTCTGATCCTTTCGAAGTTGTCGTCCACGTGTTCGGTTTGGACACAGTTCCTTCTGATGGTGTTTGAGTCTGGATTATTGAACTTTTAAATCGTGCTTAGGTCTGGTTTAAGACAGCTCCACTTTGCAAGAGCAACACACATTGATCTGACACTTCGAATCTCTGTTGAGGGATCCACCCTGAAATTGACCCTCAACATGTTATTTTGTGGCCAATTCGGTGTTTACTTTTGCTGTTCAATTTTGTTTCCAATTTGGTATTCAATCGGGTGCTTGATTTGGTTTTCCATTCGGGCTTATTACAAGGATCATTAGTAGTTTTAGCACTGGGTCTGCTTTCGCTACTCTAGCCCTGTTTAGGGCTAGGCTTTTGGGGGATTGGGGTATTGCGGTCTTTGTCCAAAACAAGGATTATAGGTAATACTCTTAGAGATCCATCCCTATATTAGGCTGCATGGATTTGTGGTGTGGGAGCTGTGCTCACCCAAGGCTGCAGCAGCATTGCACCTCAGGCCGCGGCTGCACACCCGCTGAGCAGCCTCTCCCACGTCTAGAGGCTGGGTGTATGGTGTAGGGTTTAGGGTTTAGGGTCTAGGGTATCCACATCGAAATATACTCTAAGTAAATAAGGACTCTAAGGGTATAATTATCCTTAAACTCTTGAAAAAAATCCTATGAGTCGCGAAGCCCTATGAATCCCTTAGAGGAGCCTTTAAAGGTAATGTAGGGGCCTTAATAATTAGAATAGGGCTTTGGGGTATATTATATTACAACTACAATAAGGAATCCCCTAAATAGTACAGGTAATTATTAAAGCCCCTATATTATCATACGGACATTTCGGACATGCGTGCAACAACGGGCCATGTGCAGCTGCCGGCCTCAACCGCTTGGGAGACGACTTTGCATGCCGAGGGAAAGGGCCTCGGGTTGGTTAAGGGTTTAGGGTTTAGGGTTTGGGGTTTCGGGTTTCGGGTTGCGGGCTTCAGGGCTTTAGGGTTTGGGGCTTAGGGTTTAGGGTTGCGGGCTTTAGGGCTTTAGGGCTTTAGGGTTTGGGGCTTAGGGTTTAGGGTTTAGGGTTTAGGGTTCAGGGTTTCGGGTTTCGGGCTTTAGGGCGTTAGGGTTTAGGGCTTAGGGCTTAGGGTTTAGTGTTTAGGGTTTCGGGCTTTACGGTTTTAGGGTTTCGGGTTTCGGGTTTCGGGCTTTCGGGCTTTAGGGCTTTAGGGCTTTAGGGTTTAGGGCTTAGGGTTTAGGGTTTCGGGTTTAGGGCTTTGGGCTTAGGGTTTAGGGTTTAGGGTTTAGGGCTTAGCTTTGTCAGCAAGCACAAAAAGTATGAGTGGCATGAGAGACTGCCAGCGACTGCGATGGCAAAAAACGGGACGACAACCATGTCCCACAAGCCGAGTTGCGCCAGGGCGACCGTCTGTGGGTGGCAGGCCATGCTCAGACTCGGCACGTGCAGCGTGCAGCTTGCAGGAAGATACCCTAAACCCTGAACCCTAAACCCTTAACCCTAAACCCTAAAACCCTAAACCCAGTGCTCACGAGAAGATGGGAAGAGTCTTGGTAACCTACAAGCCTCACAACGCAGGCAAACAACTTCCCTGGCCTGCCACTCGCCGCAGGAGCGTTCAGCCTGCACTTTGCAAAGGCATCAAGTTTTTAGGGTTCAGGGTTTAGGGTTTAGGGTTCAGGGTTTAGGGGTGAAATTCGTGCAAATTGCCCCCATCAAAGGTCCGAATCCGTCCTTGGAAGTTGTCATGTGTTCATCGAGGTCAATCTGTTTCCTTACGTCCTCAAGTCCGGGTTCCAAAACCAATCGAGCGCTTCAATTTATCCCGAAAAGTCTTGCTATTCAGGGTGGTTCTTGGGACGCCTTGTTCTCTGAAACTCCCAAGCGGTCGGGAACCTTCTCATTTACATCATCACAGAGCAGCTGAGCGGTTTCGACACACTCTCACACACCCAGCGCTTTCGCATCCGCAAGCAGACAGGAAAGCTTAAAGCTCCAACATCCACTGCCGAGACCTTCTGAGGAGCAAGGTGGGAGACCATCTTCAAAACGTACAAGTGGCTGCTTCAAGATCGGGACTGAAACCTCCCAACCTTTGTCCCGAGCTGACCGCGGTGATCCAGCGAAGATGCTCCTGCCCGAAGTAGTGATCCTTCCTGGTTTAGTGTTCCAATAAGGCGAGCTCAGGGCCTCACACGTTTCCCATTGAAGAAGCAGTTCATTCCCACTTTTGTGACAGTTTCGGGCGGTAGTGCCTGGTGGTACAAGCGGTCATCAGCCTGTCCCTTGTCAAGGCAATTTCTCCACATGACAGCGGTGCCTCGTCGGGGTGTGAATTTCATGCCCAGCAGCGGAAAATACGTCTCTCCTTCGCCTGGCGAGTCTGTCAGATACACAAACACGGTCTTTGGGCGATGCGGCCCATCATGATGAAGGTTGAAAAACTGCCCCGGCGAGTATCGCACCAGCGTGAGCTGCTCCAGATGCTCCACGGTCATGCCGGCCAAGGCTGCCAAACGCGCCTCAATCCTCTCTACAAGAGGACTTTCGGCCCAGTCCATATGGCACTGGTATGAGGAGCGATCAAAAACTGATCGGGTCGCCTCTCCTGTCCCGTATGCATCCACCAAGGAGGGATACCAGCGGTCACTGATTGCTGCAAGGAGCTCGTCCACCTCTTCTTCAGAGAGAAACTCCGGGGCAACCAAAATATCCGGATCCTCGCTGACTCGAATCATCGTACGGTTCCTTGGACCAACGTCGAACTCGAATCTCAAATCGATTCTCACTGCTGTGCGAAGACTGCTGGCAAGGCTAGGGCTAGAAGTGTCGCTGCCGGGGTGCTGTCCATACTCCACACCTCTCCCGACATCTAGCCTGCCACGCACAGAAGCTTTGTCAACAGAGAAGGAGCCTACTCAACACGTACATGAAATAGAATTAAATAGAACAATGCAAACACGCTCATCGCGAGCTCTTCTGGCCTGTCGCCCCGATGCTCCGCGCCACTCCGCCCATCCCCTTTCCATTGCGATCAAAGTGTAAGGTCCACCTAAATCCCCGGAGAGAGTTCACTGTGTTACGCCTTTCATGCGGTTCTGGTTGGGTTGCACTGTGATCGAGTCGTCGCAGGCTCAAATCTCCAAAATCCGTCATGTCTCTTGCTCCGCCGCACTCGAAAGTACGGCGAATGAAGACACCAGCCGGCCATTACATCGCCAAAGCGAGCCAACGCTTGTCAGCCTTGCAACTCTTCGCAATCTGCTTCACCGGGTGTGCCGGATCCTGCTTGTGCAAGATCCAAAGCTCAGCTGTGCCGCCCTGCTGACATTTAATCCTATACTATACTATGCTATGCTATGCTATGCTATACTATACCATACTATGCTATGCTATGTTATGCTTTGCTATACTATACTGTACTGTACTATACTATACTATGCTATACACTTTACTACGCACTATACTATATACTCTACTATATACGGTACTATAGACTAGGATATATACTATATCTTCGCACAAAAGCAGGACCAAAACCTTAAAGCAATTGCAGTAGCCCCTATAATGTATAACTTACTGATTCTCAGCCCCACCACCTCGACACTCTAAACCCCTGAACCCAAAATGCAGGGGCGGCTCTGAAAGTTTATTAGGGTGTGGGGCTTGAGGTGTTTAGGGTTCGCGGTTTGGGGTTTAGGGTGTCGGTTCTGCCTCTTCGCGTCAATGACACGATCCTCTTGGAGTAGCCATCCCAATGGCTGCAGAGAAGTAGTCATGGTGACCTCCAGACCCAGAGAACCCAATACACCTTAATTCAGGAATATACCTTAAATTATAGGGACCTTAATAAGTTATGATGTAAGATATATTCCTTAATTAAGGGGTATTGGGTTCTCTGGGGAGTTCTCCTGAAGCCTAAGTCGATCCTGAAAGGTCTCCTTTAAGGGCTCCTTTTACGGCTCCTCCGAGGGTACCTTCAGAGGGTTATCTAAAACGACTCCTCAAAGGGTTTGCTTTAAGGGTTCCTCAAAGGGCTTCTCTGAGGGAGTAAGGAGGTTT